CCATCCACCCACCCATCCATCCACCATCTATCCACCATCCATCCACCATCCATCCATCCACCATCCATCCATCCACCCACCCATCCATCCACCCACCCACCCACCCATCCATCCACCATCCATCCATCCACCCACCCATCCATCCACCCACGCATCCATCCACCATCCATCCATCCATCCACCATCTGTCCACCCATCCATCCATCCATTTGTCTTCCTGTCCATCCATCAGTTCATCCACCAATCCACCCATCTACCATCCATCCACCCATCCACCATTTATCCACCCATCCATCCATTCACTCATCCACTGTCCTTTCATCTACCCATCCATCTGTCCATTCATCCACCTATACATCCACCCATCATCCCATCCACCATCCATCCACCCACCATCTGTCCATCCATCTGTCCATCCCCCCACTCCTTCAGGATTTATTGAGCAGCCCCTGTGTGCTAGCTTGTGCCAGGAGCTGGGTGTACAGAGAGGGAAAGATACCACCTTTCAGTCAAGGAGCCTCAAAGCAAGTATGGGGAACGAGGTGTCTCCAGGACCAACAGGCCTGTAGGAGGTACAGACAGTGTTGGGCAACACTGCCCTGCACTTGACTGTAGCCCTCCAGGGCCAGCCCTGGGTCCCCTGTACCCAGTGAGGATGCTTACAGCTCTGGGATACCCAGGGAGCTTGGGGTTTGGCCTTGGGATCAGGAAAGAATGTTCAGATCTCAGCCCTGTCTCTGACTTGGTGGGGGCGTGACCCAGGCTTGTTCCTTGTTCTTGGCTTTCACTTAGCACTCCCTGACGGCTGTGCCCTTGACCGCCCTTGACACCTAATGGCCATCCTCTTGTTTCCAGAGTGACTTGTTGGACGTCAATCAGATCATCAAGGACTTGGCCTCCATGGTGTCAGAGCAAGGAGATGCCATCGGTGGGTATTTGTGCTACCCTCTGAACCACCTGCCCCACAGCCACGTGCCCTTTCCCCCAGGTGTAGGCAGGGCTGCCTCCTAGATGAACGAGAGCCAGGGTGGTTCTGGAGGTCTGAGCCTCTCTGCTGCCCCTCCACTCCATGTCCCCAGGTCTCCCCAGCCCTTCAGGAAGGCCACGGTTGAGGAGGCTCATGTAAGAGGGTGGCCCACCCATTCTGCTCATTGAAGAGTCTGGGCCTCCATGCCTCCCACCCTGGGCCTTCCTCCCAGCCGAGGACTCCCCAGGGTGAGGACAGACTGTCCTGGGTGGGGGAGGGGTCAAGGCTGCAGTGAGTGCCCCAGCAGAGAGGGCTGGACGTGTGGAGCCCAGAGCCGCCTGGAGCGGGCTCCTGTCCCTGGTTTCTGTCTTCCCTCCACGTGAGACCTCAGCCCCACCCAGCCTGGTCTCTCCACCCCAGGTGGCCACATGGTTCTTCCTGCTGCTGTCCCGAGGGCCTGGGAGGCCGGAGTGGGGGGTGTAGGAACCATGGTTCTCTGGCCCAGAAGCGTGGGGCTGACTCCTGGTACCAGAGCCACTGGCCAGCACAGTCAGCTCTCAGCTAGCCTCTGCCCGCCACTGCGCCCCCCCCCCATTCCAAGGTTCTGAGGTCCGTGTGTGTCTTGCTCCCCACGGGGCAGCCAGGCCATGTCCCTGGCGGTGCTGCACCCCCAGGAGAGGAAGGGACTGGGGACGGGGCGCCCTGCGGCCTCCCGGGGCTGCTGTCCAGCACGCTTGCCTTTCGCCCTTTCTCAGAGCCTGGGCTGTGTGCAGGACTGTGCTCAGCGGCTGTGCAGTGGTTCTGCCCCAGCATGCCTCACGCTGGTCTCCACAGGCCCCTGCCTGCCTGGGCTGCACGTCCTCCTGCCCTGCACCCCTGTCGGCCTCAGCATGGCTGCTGCAGCCATTCTCACCTCTGGCTGGCTGTCTCCGGGCGGGGTGTGCAGAGTGTTTTGTCCACTCCAGATGTCACCCAGATGGTCACTCAGTCCCAGTGACAGACTGATGGGGAGGGGCTATCTCCAGGTGCAGGGGGGAAGAGGGGCAGGCAAGGGCTGACTCGTGGCCACCGTGGTCAGGCCTGGGGACCCTGGAGTGGGACACCTGGGGCCGAGAGCAGCTGAGACCGCAGGACCCCACAGTGTGCTGCTGTGGGTGATCTAACCATGATGGATGATGGGCAGGGGCCCCTGTGCCCCTCTACAGGGACAATGGAGGCTGTGAGCCTGGCGGTGCTCGGCTGGGCCTGGCCTGGCCCGTCTGCTCCCCAGCTGGCCGTGGGCCTCTGCCTGCTCCCTCAGCCTCTGGTGCCTTTCCAGGGTCCGGCAGCAGCAACACGTGCCGGCAGAGCTCCAGCCCAGAGCCAGCCGTGGCGGCCCTGCTGCCCGGGCTGGGCTGTGCGCCCCTGCGGCAGGGCCTCCACTCCCGCACCAAGACGCGCAAGCCCAACTTCAGCCCCCAGGAGACGGAGGTGCTGGTGCAGAGGGTGACACGCCACCACCCGCTGCTGTTCGGAGCGCTACGGGGCACGCCCTCCCGGAAACACCGCGTGTGGAACAAGATCCTGCAGGCGGTGAACGCGCTGGGCTACTGCCGGAGGGACCTGGGCGACCTCAAGCACAAGTGGAGGGATCTGCGAGGGGCGGTGCGCAAGAAACTGGCGGAGCGCCCGCGGGCCCCTGGCCTCATCCTTACCCCTGTGGAGCGCATGGTGGCGGAGACCTTCTCAGCCCCAGCCCCCCTAGGCGAGGGCCAGGCTGCCGAGCCCCTGCCAAGTAAGTGGGCCCCCTAGGCCTGCCCCTGTGCTGGGGTTCCAGTGAAGGGCCCCAGGGAGCAGGACCCTCGGGGAGGGCTGTGAGTCTGACCACCACCCACATGTAGACGGGAAACTGAGCCTGGGGTCCGCGAGGGGCCCACCCACCTGGGCAACGGAGGAGCTGGGGCTCAGAGTCAGTCTCATCCTGGCCCCAAGCTGGGAGTCCTTCTGGGGGTCCCCCCACCATGACGTAGCACAGCCAAGGGCCTCCAGAGGCTCAGGGAGCAGAGGACGAGGGGCCACGCTCCCCTCCCTGTCCCCACCTGGTGCCACTCTCCTGGTGTGGGGGAGCGGGACCACCCTGACCCCTTCCTGTGCTCTTGTTATGGGGGCCCTTCTCCCTGGGGTCACTCAGCCCCCAGAGCAGACCAGGGCAGTGTCCAGCGGCTCTCAGCTTCCCAGGGCACACTGACCCCCCCCCCCCCACGCTGAGCCCATGCACCCGCCTATAGGCCCCCTTATCTGGAAGTTTCTGTGTCTGGTGAGGAAGGCATGGGGTGCTTGGTGGGGTCTTCCCGCTGCACACGGCCACCTCTGGCCTCCAGGGTGGTGCTGGCCTGGACTCCTGGTGCCACCTCCTTCTGCACCTCCTCCTGCTGCTCCTCTTCCTCAAGACACCTCTGAACGTCCTGGTCAGTCTGCCGCAGCGGCTGCGCCTCTCCTCTCGGCCAAGATGGACTCTTTGCTTCCGGAGGAGCTGCTGGAAGCCCCTTGGGGACGAAGCCTGGAGCAGGACCAGCTCTCTCTCGAAGGCCACGGCGTGGACCGCAGGACTCAGCCTGCACACACATGCCCCGGCGGACGGCTACAGCACAGTTTCTAGTGGGCCCAGCGCGACATGTGTGCAGACGCACCGTTCCCTGGGGGCTGGCATTGGTCATGGGCCTGGGAGACGGTCCAGGATAGGGCCAGCCTGTCAGGCCAGGGGAGGCCACCACAGTCTCCTACAGGCAGGGCCAGACCCAGTTTTGGGGTGCTGCAGGGCTGGGTGTGCACACTGGGGTGCCCGACCCACCCCACGAGTCCCCAACCCTGGAGCTGGGCAGGAATTTGGTGGCTGTGTTGTTCCTGAAGGTCACTGGTGCTTGGCTCAGTAAACTGGCTTATGGAGGGGTCCAGTCCAGCACAGATGTCCCTGCCTGCCCTGCTGGGCCAGGCGCCCCCTTCCTTAGACCCTGCAGCCCCTGGGCTTGCCTCCATCAAGGCAGCCAACTGACTGGTTCCTTAGTGCTGGGAGCCCCTCCTGGGAGTGTCCGTCCCAGACGGTGCTGATTGTCACTGAGTGACCGAGTGAGAGGGAGTGGCCTGGGGCCGGGCCTCCCTGACAGGGCTGAGCTACGGGTCAGGGAGGCGGCTGCAAAACCTGATCTGGGGTGGGGGTGGGTGGCAGAGACTACTGCCGCAGGCCCCACCAGTTCCTCCGTCTGGGTCAACGCTCGCCTGGCGCCTGGGCAGGGTCAGGCCTGCAGGGGCCTCTCATGGCCGCGGGGGCTGAGGATAGCCAGTTGGTAGAGTTGTGGGGCCTCCTTGGGGGGCTGAGTAGGCAGCTCTCTGGCGGTGCCTTGAGGTGCATCCTCCTGCTCTCTGTGAGTGTTTTGGGAGTGGTACTGAAGGGGGTTCTCTTCGGCCCCCCGAGGCCTGGCCTGGAGTCTGGGTGCCCCGTAGTCTCCGGAGCAGAGGCCCTGCGGGACAAGGTCCTGCTGAGCAGCCCCTGTGCGGGGCCTGGGGGTCGGCGGAGGGCACCTGCAGATTTGCCCCTGACCAACTCGGGGTCTTCGAGAGGAAGCAGAGGTGGTTCAGGGCTGATGAAGCATCAGGGTGTGCAGGCCAGGTGGTGGGGTGCCGCCTGCCCCCCTGGCAGCCCCTCGGGGAGGGAGCTGGGTCTGGCAGGCGGGTCTGCTTATACTGTGGCCCAAAGCAGAACTGGGTCTGATCTGGGGGGCGCTCTGCAGGCCAAGCGTGTTCATTCTTGGTCTGAGGTGGCCTTTGGCTGTGGGATCGCTTGTGTCTCCAGGCCGCCCCTGGCCATCAGAACCGGGCTCATGGTGTCCCCAGGGCCTGTGGCTCGGTGCAGACCGGACTCGGGCTTTGTCGGAGGCTGAGAGCAGAATGCTGGCACAGCTCAGGCTCTGTGCGGTGGCTGGACGGAGGCAAGACCCAGCTAGGAGCGTGGCCCCCAGTGCCCGGCACTGGCCCAGACCCTGCCGTCTTCCTGTGCATGGGAGCCGCTGCTGCTGCCCTGTGCGTCCGTCTCTTCCCTCCGGGGGAGCAGGGTGGGGCTGCTGCCGCCCACGGCCTGGGGGTGTGACGTGGCTCCTTGGCACCCAAGCAGGGCCGTGGCAGGAGCAGGGGCCTGGGTGGACACTGGGGGGTCAGCGCTGCACGTGGGGGAGAAGCAGGGGTGCTGCAGCACGAGAAGGGGTGAAGCCCTCCATCCTCTCCTTCCAGTGGGGCTCCACGTGGGGGGGCTAGGCTTCGGATGCGGGGGAGGGAACCCCAGAGAAGACAGCCCCTCAGAGCAATCCACTGGGCAGGGGGCACGCTGTGCGCTGGTGGTGCCTGTGTTCATCTGGGCCTTCTCTGCCGCGGGCCTTGGGCCTGCCGCTCTGCTCAGCTCCGGGGCACCCCGCTGTGTCGTGCTCCAGGGGAGATGAAGGATTTGAATTGAACTATTTCTGCCTCTGAAGTCCTGTGAGTTTGGGGTCCTGTCTCCTTGTCCTTGAAGCAGGAGCTGTGTGTTTGCAGTAGCTGGCAGTAATGGCCGCTGGTCTTCGGGGAGAGCGCCTCTTGCTGTGGCCACAGGCTTGCTCCATCTAGTGCTACCAGGATCCCTGGTAGCGTGTAGAAGAGGACGCAGTGTAGACGTGTTCTTCATCTGGATTCAAACCCAGTTCCTGCTGCGGGTGAATGTCACAGTCTTAACTCACCATCACGCTGTGTGTCCCGCAGCCTAGCCTTGAGTTCCAAGTGGGTCTGGCACGTTTTCACAATGCGGCCTTTTTACTGCCAGCATCGTGGAGTGGAATGCTCTGGTTTCCTGGGGATGCTCTGGGCCTCGTGAGGGTGGCCGAGCTGTGCCGCCGGTGTCACTGGTCAGGGCTGCGTTGACGCCCCCACCAGGCCCGTGCCTGAGGCCCCACATCGAAGCCTGAGCCGGTTGGCCACTGTCTGGAGACCACGGGCCAGCATGCGCTGCTGCCCAACCACAGACCCAGGCAGGATGGTCCTTATAGTGGCTCCGTGGGACCTGCAGAGACAGTCTCTGTCCCTTTCTTCGAGGCAGGGGCCATGGTCAGGAGCAGGAGGACTGCCCAAGGGTGCAAAGAAGTAACAGGGCCAGGCCTCTATCCGGGCTGGCCTCGGCCCTTTCCTGAGTGGGCTGCCCTTGCCCCCAGGGGCACCTCCTGATGGCTTGGTGACCAGTGCCCACGCCAGCCACGTGGCCCAGTGCCCCATCCCTGCAACCTCTGTCTCTCTGGAGGCTGGACTCTTCACCTGGCCTCCAGTGAAGCCAGCATGGGGTCCTAGTGACCACTGGGGAGGGCAGCGGCCATCCACCCCCCACACCTCTGGGCCTGGGCTCCCTGGGGCTCGCCCTTGGGGTAGCCTCAGGGTCACACTCTGTAATTCCTTCTATTGTCTTGATTTGCAGATAGTATTGAAGCCAGCCTTGAGGCTGCGTCCTCGCACACAGAGGCGGCCAGCGAGCTCCTGGCTGGAGCCAGCCGGCACCAAGTAAGTCAGTATGAGGGGACAGCACGGCTGGCCTGCGGCCCCCTCGGTCCCGTCTCCCTGGGAGGCCTAGGCCCTGCCCAGTACTTGGGAGGGGCACGCCCACAGGATCTTCTCTGAGTCAAGGGGGACTGGTGCAGGGGAGGGCAGAGAGAGGACTGTGGTGTCTGTACCCAGGGTGCCGTGCACCGCCGCCTGCTGTCTGCACCCCTGCTGAGGCTGGAGCTCACGGAATGGGTCACGAGTGTGAGCAGGACCCCGTGGGGGATCTCACTGCCATGGGTGCTGGGCACAGCCATGGTTGCCCGGGAGCGCACTCACCAACCTGCCTTTCCAGAAAGCTCTGTGGCTTCTCTTTTGCCCAGAAGGGCAAGCTGGGTCTGCTGGTGTCTGTCCCCTTCCTCTGATCCTCCTCTGACTCTCCTACTCCTGCACCAGCTGCCCAAGCACCTGTGCGGCTCGGGGCTGCCTCTGGCCTGGCTCTGGTCTGGAGGCTGGGGTGGACCCTCCCTTCTTGGAGCCATCGGAACTTGGCTTGGGACAAGTTGGCTGGCTCAGGGAGTGAGGGCAAATATCAGGCCTTTATTTGCTTGCAGTGGGGCTTAGAGCAGCCCCGGGGACTGACGGCTGGGCCTCCGTGCTAACCCGCCGCCGCCGCCGCCACGTGAGCACCTGATTAGGCCAGGTCCAGCTGGGAGGGAGGCCTGGGCAGCCATCCTTCACTCACTCCTCACTCACTCACCGGCCCTCTGCTCCGTGCTGGGCTCTGACACACACAGGTGGACACTGTAGAGACTGTCTCTCCATGAGTGGGCATCCCAGGGGGAGGGTGGGGTGGACAGTTCGGTCCATTGAGAGGTGGGGCAGGGAGAGTTTCCTGGGAGAGCACACGCTCCATCCTGAAGGCCAGGTAGTAGTTGTCCTGGTAGAAAGGACAGCGTGCTCAGAGGCCAAAGGAGGAGCCACCCCAGGGAAGGTCAGGAGTGTGAGCACTGTGTGGGGGCCGTGGTGGGCAGGAGCAGGGCAGAGCGTTCCAGGGAGATGATGCCCTCATTCCCTGGGGTCTCTGGGAAGTCAAAGCTGCGTTGGCTTTCCCTCTTCTCCATCAATGGCCCTCAGTATGAGAAGTCGGGGTGACGGAGGGTCAGCTGCACATGAGAATGGGCGAATGCTGCACCAGGAGAAGAAACAGGCTGCGCCAAGGTCTCGTCTGCAGGATGGGAGCAGAGGCAGGCTGACGTCAACTCAGTGCTCGCTGCCTGGCCCATGGCCCCTGCCACCTTACAGCACACTGAGGACAGCTAGGCCCTCCACCTGGGACCTCTCCACCAAGCTTGGTCCTCCCGGAGTGGAAGGTAACGGTTTGCAAACGACAAGCAAGGCAGACTTGCCCGAAGCTCAGGGCCTGGCCTCTCTCTGACGGGAACTCTTCCAAGTGGCGGGGCCCACCGGTCGCCCTGACCAACAGCCGCATCTTGAGAGGGAAGCAACAAGCCAGCAGGGTGGCTGCCTCCCTGAATGTCCAGGGCCACCAGGTTGGAAGGATCGGCAGATGCCAGGACCACAGGAGGAAGATGTGACAGTGAGGAAGAGATCAGCGGCAGGAGGAGGTGGAGGCTGCATGGGTGGCCCCCTGTGTCCATGGACAGCTCATCAGGCTCAGACCCCCTGTCCCGTTTCCGGGGAGCTCATTGGACCCTGCCCACTATCACTACCCCATTTCCATTGCAAAGCAGTGACCCTGTGCCGTAGGTGAGGTGAGCGAGGCTCAGGCCCAGGAGGTAAGCCCGCAGTTGCTGCCACATAGGAAGGTCGTCCCGCTCCTCCCCACCAGCACGTTGGGGCGTGTCCAGCAAGATGGACATGGCCCAGCCCCGTGTTTCAGGTCCAGGTTTTCCCTGGGAAGTTGGCCAGTGTGCCCCCCACACCCTGACAAGAGGAAGGGTTAGACATCCCTACAGCCAGACAATGGGGATTGGAAGTCCAGAGGAGAGAAGGGTTTCCCAAGACTGCACGGCTGTCAAGAGGCAGAGCTGGTTTTGGACCCTAGGCTCTAGGATTTCATGTCCAGGGCTTTTCCTGCCGCCTTGGGGAAACTCTGGTACACCCTCTCAGCCTCCTCGAACATCCACTTGCTGGAGGAGTGGACCCAGAGATCCATGGATAGGTGCCTGGATGGATGGAAGGATGGATGGATGTGTGGGTGGGCAGAGGTGAGGGCAAATGGATGGGTGGATGGAGGATGGACAGATGGGTGGGTGGATGGAGGTTGGATGGATGGGTGGACAGAGGCATGGATGGATGGATGGATGGGTAGACAAGAGGAATAGGTAAATAGATGGGTGGATGGAGGATGGATGGATGGATGGATAGATGGGCGGGTGGACAGAGG